GTGACACCATCCTGCAGGTTTTTGCAGAGGAGCTCCTGAGATGAACCAAGCAGCCGACAGTGAAGGCAGATTTCTGATCCGTCTGTTAAAGTTTAGCTGTTGGTTGTGACGTCAGACCTTGGACAGTTCCTCTGGATGTTCACGTGACCGACAGAATGTGAAGATCCTAGAGAGGAAGGCCTGCATTCCTGCTTCGCTGCAAAGCTCACTTCCTTCATTTAGCTGCAGCTGCTCTGGTTCTGGACAGAGACGTTCTTTACAGAACAACCAGCAGGATGGAGACGGGTCACCTGCAGACCCAGCAGGACATGGATGTCCACCTAGAGCTTTGATCAGACAGGAAGAAGACCATGCAGAGATGCACAGCTCAGGAAGATCAACCTGAGATCAAACATCTGGTTGTGACCCAGTGATTAGGAAGTCCTTTGAAATGTGCTAAAGTTAAATCAGATTGATGATGGCCAGCATGGCGGTGGCAGCATCATGCTGTGGGAGCTGTAGAGCCTGCAGCTGAATGATTTTCACTGTGATCAAATAAAAAGGCGTTTGAAACATTTTTCTCTTTAGATTCCTGAAGATTTAAGGTTTAAATGAGTCCAAAAGAGTGTTTCTACCAGACAGTTTCTAATTCCAGTTTCCAGAACTGAAACTAGGGATTAAAATGTGGGATTATGACCGCTGCTGTCCCGGGAGCTCCGGGCTGGATGGATCCAGGAGAGCAGCCCATCCGGACCGGTTCCTCCTTACCTCTAAGCCAGCAGCTGACAGCTCCGTGGCGCCGGACGCAGCGGATCCGGTTCCGGTTCTGCGGGGTTCCGCTGCGGTATGTCTGGGACCGGAACCACTGCAGCCTCTGGACTCAATCCTGGGAGGTTTGGGAGTTCCGGTAGCACCGACCGAACCGGACAGTTTACTTCCTGGATCCACCGAGCGACGTTCCACGCTGGCAGCGCTGACGTCACACCCCGCCGCACCGGATTGGTCAGTCTGTTGATCACAGCGCGAGCCTTTTAACAGAGCGGAACATGAGAGGAGTGGACCAGGGGCGGGTTTAGGAAATGTGGGGCCCCAGGGGGCCCGCTGAAAACAGCCCCATTCTCCAGATAGAGAAATGTTAATAGAATAGACATCCATTATCTGTTCTAGGTTGTGTCCCTCTCTTCTTGTCCCTTTTCTTCTTGTTTTCCTCTCTATGTTTTGTACTCAGCTGACTTTTCATGCTGTCTCTAAAGGAATGAAAGATTTTTTATAAGAAGAAAAATAAAGTTCAAAGGAAATATTTTAATTCAAAATTAAAATCTTCAACTGGAAGGAAATAAATAATAAGAGCAAAGAACAGCGATGTCATTAGAAGGAGAAATATGAGACAGATGGCAGCTCCTGCTGTAGGCAGGAAGGTCGGTCGTCTCTAGAAGATCCTCACTGCTGTCCATCATCATCTTCATCTCCAGAGGTTCTAGAGTAGTTCCTAGAACAGAGCCGCCTTTATCAGCTGCTTCAGCTTCTTTCAGTCATTAGCGATGATGATGATGATGACGATGATGATGGAGGAAGAGATCAGCCTCTCCACAGCAGACTGATAGTAGATCTGCAGCATGTGAAGCAGCCATTTCACGGCGCTTTAAACTTCTCCCATCTAGAATTTTCAAAAGATGCTGAACTTGGGGAGGGAGTGGCCTAAAAATCTGAACCATGCCCTGATAAATGACAAAAATTAATGACTAATCATTGTTTTAGACCAGTTTAAACATTTCCATTTTTTTCTCTCTCCATCGTTTTTTCTAATATCTTTTAGGTCACGTGACTGACTGACAATAACCTGACGTAAAATCATTATAATAGCAAAGACAGACGATGCAGACTTTTTTGATCCAATTAAATGAATTTACAATTTCTCATTAAATTATGAAATAAAGAAAACCAGGATTAATTTTCTTCAGAAAATAGAACTTAATTAATCACCAGTCTCTCAGTGAACCACCTTAGGGGCGAGTCAGCCGGGAGCAGCTGCTGATGTCAGTTCTTCCATGGTGATGTCACATCCCTGGCTAAACCAGTACCAACAATCAAATGCAGCAACCATTTTAAACCTGACGAGGGCGCCAAGCAGGCGGTTTAAGACACAAAAGTGGGATTGCAATAAATTTGCAGTAAAATAATTCCAAAAAAATGACTGGGACTTGAAAACAGCTGCGTAAGAAGTCAATCGATGCACTTTGTTAGCAAGAAAGATTGGATTTAGTGGTGAAGTAATTTCCCTCTGGGATTATTAAAGTATTTCTGATTCTGATTCTGAATCGACCTTCAAAAGTCCAGTCTGCTCTGTCCCTTCCTGGAGACGGCTTCCCAGTTGTGTCTCCAGTCCAGTTTGGTGTCCAGGTGAAGAGCAATGGATTTCTACTCCTCCACCTCCTCTCCCAGGATATTAAAGGGGAACGCCGTTTTTTTCCATTGGTCCCTTGATTTTCCGTTATTCCATCATGTTCTACTCTCCCATATGAGTTTAGTGTCATTCGGAGCCGTTCTGAAGATATTCCGTTAGGTTATATCCAGTAGCGTCTTCCTATGGGCAACGACTTGAAGGCACAAACTAAACTGTTCATCACAGCCACCAGTCCATTAATCACAGCAATAATTAACCAGTCATTACACTCCGGTCAGGTTCCTCCAGCTCTCAAAACTGCAGTCATTCGCCCCCCTCTGAAAAAGCCCTCACTCGACCCTGAAATCCTGGCCCACTACAGACCCATTTCAAACCTGCCATTCCTATCCAAAGTTCTGGAAAAAGTT